GATGTTCCATAAAAGTGATTTTAAATACTTTTCGAAGAATTTATAGAAGTAGGAAGCTTTTAATGTAAAACGATAAACGTAACAAAACCTAGAAATCCAGCTCGTCACATGCAATCAGGCAGACAATTATTGAATAAAAGAGTGAATTTTTTAGGATTAAGTTATGCTAACCAATGAGATAGACCAAGGTCAAACAAATGATACCTGCACGACAAAAAAAAATCTGATAATCTAAATTTCAAATTTTACATCCTTCAGAGCCTTATGGTACAGGCATAATTCTACAAAATAGAGAATATTAGCAGTCAAGATTCTTGTCATCGCCAGGAAAAAATTGCCACTTTATTTCGCTTGTATGTGTATCTATCACTGCTATAATCGCCACTATCATTACTATTACTACTACTGTTATTATTATTATCTCGCTATTATTACTACTGTTGCCATTATTAATATTACAGCTATTATTATTTCTAGCATTACTATTACTGTTAACACCATTGTTATCATTAATGCCACAAATACTGTTAGTACTGTTGTCATTACTACTGTAATTACAATATAAAAACTATTCAAGTAACTCTTCTTTGGAATTGCTTATACATTTATAGCAACTAATTCCAAAAAAAAGCAGCTAATACCCACACTGTTTCCCAATGAAACCGTGCTACTGCATATTTTGAATATCCCATCCCACTCAGGTGCAAATTTTATAAGCCAAAAGTTTCTCCCTTTTGTAACAAATTATCGTCCAAAGACCTTAACGTTTTCAATAAAAACAGGTTTTGCGCTATCCAAAAATAACTACTTCCTATCATTTCACCTTGTGCTATTTCACTTTCTCTCAACTATTAGTAAGACCAGTCCTGTAAGACCCTTTGTTTTTTGGAAAACTGATGTTATTATTTGTAAAAGACCTTGTATCAGAGGAATAACTTTCTTTAACTTCCATACATTAAAACAGCAAAACTTCCCACTCTACGATATTGTACTGTTGCAAGTAGACTACCTGGTCAGTCTTCATGGTTTAGCGGTTCTCACTTGTTGCTTCGTCTGACCAAGGCTTTACAACCAATCAAAGTTCGCACGCCTCTTTCCAAAAGTAACTCCACAAGGGCTTTCCCGCAAAGTCAATCTTATTCCCTAATACGCAGGCTGAAATCGCAGTTTCATTCGTGTCTTTTGATCGAAAGAGTGATAAGAAATCCGTCAATTTACGTTGAAATAAATGGAAAAACTTTCACTATTGAATATGAGCACTAACCTTAAACATTTTAGTACATATCTGTAGTTTTTTGATGGTGACTGTATTCAAGGGTACGGGAAAATGCTGAAGAGTAGCAAATTCATATCATAAAGCATTGAAAGCACATCTAGGTTACCTCTGTGCGACATCCTCACAGTTTAATGTCCCTAATAAGCTTTGATTTGCTTAGTACACTGCTTTCACCAGTCCAAGGCCCATGTTTTCAAAGATCTAAACGAATGTGCTACTAAACGAAAAAATTTTTATAGCAGAACAGGCTCTAAGTGGACAAAAAATTTTTTTGAGTGCGAGCTGTGACACGAAAGTAGTCAGTTTAGATTAAAAATCAAAACTTCTCCTACCTTTAAAAAAGAATTAGAAACCTATACAAAACCGTTGTCGAAAATTAATCACGAGAAAATTTACCAAACATGAGAGTTCACCTCCAAACCAGAAAACCTTAAATGCCAACTTGGAAGTTCACTCAAAATTCATTTCTAGTTTGTGTAGCCGGATCCTATAAAGCTTTGCAGAAATACATCTTCCTCCTGCCCTCTGGCAGTTTCCTGATTAATCTTCGATCCTCGGCATTCAGACACCCAAAACTACTCGTCAACAAAAAACACCCTCTATGAGAAAACAAAGGGCCTCTATAACAACCCCTTACCAACCACCAGCTCAATGAAAGCAAAAGGACAGAGCTGCAGCAGAAAAGTACAACAAAGATGACAACAATAGCGCACGTTACTGCAGGTCATTCGCAAGCTTCCTCAGAAAGTGGAGAGAAAAACTGAGGATGCAACCAGCCAATTCAAACCCAAGCAATTAAACGAAAGACGGCTCAAAGACAAATTGAATGACCAGGCAACAAATCTTACGACAAAGCAAGTCAGAAAACCTTACTCCTTGCGTAAACCATATGCAAAACAATTTCAAATTACCAAGTCTGCTTTGTAGCACAAACTCTGGCAAATCAACGAAACGCTGCGCTAATAAAGAGGGAATAATTAGCTCATCAATCCTAAAGAGGAACCAGTACCAATGGAAATGTATTCAACGTTTTACTTATGTTATACAAATTAATCTGACAGCAATATCCAAAACTGCTGTCAGCCTAAGTGTACAATTTAAACAAAATTAGAAAACAATGAAACCAGTGTCCAATTACATGGAAGCACTTGCAAATGAATAAAAACGACTGGCAAGCAAAAATTACATCTCTGTTTCACTTGTGAACACACAAATACACACAGTAACCAATCTTCGCTTGACACAATAAATATCTGTAAACACACGTGAGCATTCCAAAAAGAAAATATAAAAAGAAAGAACAGCAATTTGAATAGAAAATTACGCGAGTTGAACTTCATTTTACAAAAAACAAGTCTTAATAACCAGGAAAAAAAGCAGATGCCAAGGATCGGCATAATCAGAGATTGCAAAATATAATTTTTGGGTGAACTACAAACAACGAAAAAACGTAAAAGAACGAAGAATCATAGTGTCCAAATAAGGACTAGAGAGTATTCAAGTTCGCAGATCAGCTTAACAAAACCGGTATCATATAGGAATCTAGCGTATAAGAATGCTGCAAAAACCTGTACAATACAGAGCAAATTGTCAATGTGTTCGAAATGGTATAACGAAAGTATGCATTACCTGCTTATTAATGAAAAAAATACTCTGACAATTTTTGTCTATGAGATAACTTCCTTCAACTGATTTACACGTACAACATCAGGGAAATATCAGTTTTACAAAAAAAGAAAAAAAAAGTTAAACATCTGGAAAGTACGCAAACCAACTTTTTTTTTTTGGAAGAGAACAAGAGGAGAGATTATTTGGTACTAAGTAGCATGTAGAAATGACTACAAGATACACTTTTCTATGAGTTCTCATTCAGTTGGAAGTGACTTTAAATACTTGTCCGGTCGGCGGTATTCATCCAGCGCCTTTTCAGTACCGGGATCGTGTGGTACATCACTTCTTCGGGTGCTCAAACGCTGGTCAACATGATTATTTTTCTCCTTGAAACCAAAGATCTTTTATTACTTAAAAAAGCTTCGTTTGCGTCGTAAACCACACTAAAACTCCACAACTTTCTAGGCTACTAACTAACTTGACCCCTTTTCCTCAAAAAAGGTACAAATTATTACATGTACAACTCTTCTCTTATTCATTACAAAGCAATGAAAATAACTTTTGAGCCCTTCAGCACAACTAATATTGTTAATTTGCGAACTTACATATCGAACAGCATTTTGCTTAATATGATTGGCGTCAAATGATATACCATTACAATCTTCCTCAGAAATATGCTGAAAGATGGGAGCACTCACAGTATGCTTCAACTGACTTTTGACGGCATCATACTGAAACGAACTTCTTCAGCATGTCAACATCAATAATTTGCCTGTGGCGTATTGAATACAACTTGGAAACAAAAACTGAACTACGACGGTTTCAATACTAAACAAACTATATACTGAGAATTTCAAAAGACGTGGGAAGCTATGCAGATGGGACTGACATTAGGATTCAGCCGTGCTTTACGTTCTATATCCTCCCATAAAGCAAGTTTCTTTTTCAGTTTCTCAGCTTCTTCTTCTCGCTCCCGATTATAATTCTGCGAACACTCATCAAACAACCTCTGATTTATTTCCATAAAAAGTTTCAAGGCGTTATAGATCAGACCATGAATAGTCCTAAAAAGTCGATTTAGCAAAGTTACCTATCAACCAGAAGTTGATCTGTGTTTCTTAAAATAAACAAAAACCGTCGGTCACATATTAATTAAAAGTATTAGGTGTATTACCAGACCCCAAAACATTACACTCAGTAGATCACCAGAAAAGTTCAAACAGTACTAAATCCACACTCGTTAAGAAAGCAGGTAAGTACAGCTGCTCACTAAGACGTCTCAAGCAAAACAAATCCAAAAAATAGTTGAAAATATACTTATTCCAATGATTTTTCGAGTTCTTGTACAAAGCAGGAAACATTATTGGAAGAATAACAGCAGCATTGTCATTATCGCTTATAAGAGACATAATATATTCGTTATTCCAATAATACAAGGCTCTTTCTGCAACCTGTAAAAATAAGAATTTCAAAAATTATTTAGACCATTTAATTTTGAGAATGAAGCACCAAGTGCGCTTCCGACAGATACAAACAAAAACCTCACAATGTTACAAAGAAGTCATCTAACAAAGAGTAACCTGGAAATGTGGAGATGAAACACACTTTGCCAACTGCCTGAACAAAGGAACCATAATTTTACTGAATTCCGTCGGTTCAATAACATCTAACACTTCTTCTAATTCATTGAGAAACATTACCTTAAAATCAGACTTAGAAAAAAAAAGTAATAAACTCTGGAAAAATTAAACAAAAACTCATCGTAAAAAAATCACCTCTTTTGGGCTGTGTACTTTTGGCCAAAACCGTAACAGTGAATGAACCACTGGTTCTGTAAGTGATGCATCTTTTTCCAGGAACTGGACCACACAATACGCCAATTGAGGATGATAAACTGATAAGGACTTACACTGAAAATTGTAAACTATATATCCTCTCAACACAATCTTATAGAAATCATTCAGCAAAAAAAAAAAAAAAAAAAAAAAAAA